TCCTGGGGGAGCCGTGGCTCTGGGCTCTACCCCCCCTCCACTGGGTTGAGGCTGGTGATTAGCTAGGTTAATTATATCCAAGCCATTTCCGATTGGCACAAGCCCACCCACCCACAGAGCCTGTTCAGAAGGCATGCAGCCCCAGCCAGGGTCAGAATGCCAGGGCACCAACTACCCTGGAAGGGGTCCTGACCCCTGCAATGGCCAAATAGAGAGTGGTTGTCCTGCCCCACCCTCACCAGGACCTGCGCCCCACCCCTCACCCCCATCCTTCTTTTTGCAAGTCCCCACACAAATCCCTTTCCCTCCCTTCTTCCCCCAGGTTTGGAATGAAATCATGGGGCTCTGAGTTCCGCACGAGGCCCCGACATAAACACTCTGATTGGGGCTAATTACAAGGGCCAGGTTGGGAGGCTGGAGCCTTCAGAAAGCTTGGCTTTCAAACAAAGGACCTAGGGCTCAGCCCCCAGCCCAGGCCGGCTCCTCTCCAGGCTTCATTAGCAATATGGAGGGGGCCCAGGGCCATAGGCGGTCCTCTCTAAACCCAGTCAATGGTCTCTGAGCTTGTTCCATGTCCCAAGTCCCATCTTATCCTTTCTCCAGGCCTCAAATCTCAGCCTTTCCCATATGTCCTGGAAGAGCAGCAAGTCTGCAGTGTAAGGCAAGGCAGCCAGGGAGGGGCACTCAGGCTGTGAGTCTGGGGATCGGGCAGAGCAGGAGGAGGGGGAGGCACACCGGGGAAGCCAGCTGTGACAGCCCCAGCCCTAATTAGCCAGCTTCAAAGCCAGCTGGAGAGAGAGCCCGCCCACCTTCATGCCCTGCTCACTCAGGCGGCTAAGACATTTCTGTCCTAATCAGAGGAGAGAGGGAGAAAAAACATTGCCCACCACCACCCCAAGGAACCTCCAGACTGTGAGCTGACACCCTGAGTCAGGTAGAAAAACTGGAAGCACAAAAAATCATTCTATTCTATTAAAACCACCAGTAACAATAGGTTAAACAGTCCTAAAGAAATGTATATCCTTTGATTCAAGGATTCTACTGTATTTTTAGGAATCTATCCTAAGTAATTGGAAGAGTGCTACAATTTGTTGAACTTCTGCTGTGTACTGGCTCTGTACATGCACCATCTGATCGAATCCTCACAACAACCCTGACGGACCGTCACTATACCATTTTTACAGATGAGTGCCTGGGCCCAGAGCTGGGCACTTTCTCATGCCAAAGCCTGTACTCTACACATGGCTGGTCTGTATGTTGCTTTCTCCAATTTTTTTCACTTGACTACAAGGGTATTACACATTCATTCTACGGTTGCATCTAGATAACTTGTTCCCTGCGAGAGAAACAGGATCGATGAATGACCTGGTTTGTAGTGTTCCTGGTTTTGTAGGCTTGATGTTTTCCCTTCTATACACTCTTTCCACAGCAAAGGCGATTAGAGACTGGGGACACTGGAGTGTGAGAAGATAAACGTTGTCCCTTGGAGAAGTGGATACCCAGTAATCAAAACTAAAAAACATCCAACTAGGAATTGGAAAACTAGATTGGGTGCCGGGCATGGTAGGAGGGGCATAGCTAGAAGGTCCATAAACCCTTAAAGTTAAATGCAAAGTCTGTGTTCTTGGGAGTCTGACCATTTTCTCCCAGAAGATCCAGAGATTTTTCAGGTTCTCAGAGGAGTCAGTGGCCCCCAGTTTAAAATCCATTTAGAGGAGAGGAGGGTGAGTCTAGAAAAGGAAGGGACCCTACTACAGTGAGCAGTGAGATTATCAAAGGGAAGTGGCCGGAGCTTGGGCCAGGCTTCTCTAGCTAGACATGTGCCCCATGCACCCTGGGACACATCTCCTCAATTCCAGAATCCAACCCAGATCTGGGGTCCCCAACACCCTCTTGGAGAGGCTTTTGAAATAATCCAGAAGTCAGCAGCTCCAGATCCTACTGATTCTCACTCTTTGGGGTGTTCAGAAGAATTTTGTTTTGGAAAACTTCACTGTCTCTTTCTGGGGCTGGCTCTTAAAGGACAAAGAATTTGTAACTAATGGAACAATTTTTTTTAGGAGGGGAGTCTGGGGAGGTGGAAGAAAAGCCAAAGTGTGATCAATGAGGGAGGAGTCAGGAGAAGAGATGTCCTGAATGAGAACCAGTAGCCTTGCTCCTTTATGGGATAGGGTGAGGATGGGAGGGCAGGTAGAAAGCAGCTGTGGTCTGAGACCTGCCCCAGGTCTGAGGCCTCAGGTGAAGGGTTTTCCTTCTGGGCCCTTGACCCTCCACCAAAGACTCACTCTTCCAAAGAGAGGTACCAACTTACTTATAATGACCCATAGGATGACCTAGAAATCTGCTGAAGCAGACCTCCAAGCCCATGTGTTTAACTGGGTTTTCCAAACAAGGGTAGAGACCCCTCTCTAGGTGTGGCAGTGAGCTCCGGTGGGTCTCTGCTCCAGGCACTTTCTCCCCTAAATTCCCTACACCATGGGCTCACATCTACCTTCCTTCCTCTAAGAGTTGTTTCATTAGAGCAATGAGAGCAGCTGGAGAAGGGCTCCCCACTACTCTCTGTAAGGTCATTCAGCCCTAGGCTACCCCTTTGGAGAAGGCCTTTCCTTTCCAAGAGGCAATTATCATCTATCTTCCTACCACCACCATAAAACCTAATTTTTTTTTAGTTTTTTTGGGCCGGCTTCCCCTCTGTTGGCAGGAGAGTTTAAGGGAGGGGCTGAGAAGAATCTTTACCCAAATTCTCTCCCTCTCGGAGAAGGAAAAGATCATTGCTGCTCATCTACCATCTCCTACCGCTGATAGCATGGGTGTCCACTGACAAATGTACCCAAAGCACACAAAGACGTGGTGTTGGGGCTTTAGAAGTGGGGGAGGTGCCTTCCCAAATCTTCAACAGAGACCAGTGCTCCTTTTCCCACTGGGTTCCATCCAGCCACTGGAAAATCTATCCCCTACACCCCCATTCACAGGCTTTCACCATTCTTTCCAGGAGAGGCACTCACAATTTGTTTGTAATTTAACTCTTTCCTGCAGCCCTTGTGAGGTTCCTTTAGAATCCTGAAACAAATGGAGTTACAGCCTGGTGACACCTTACTTCTTTGATAGTTGAGGGAATCTCATGTGGGGACTTCACACATATCATTTGAGAAAAAGCTTGTTTTAACGTATAATTTTGGTCACTGGCACAAATGATTTGGGGGAAGGTTACATATTTTGGGAAAGGGGCTCTGCTGAAATCCTCAGACTTCATACAATTCCAAACAAAGCCCCACATACGACTTCAATTACCACCAAACATTTCCAGATCCCCTCCCCCAACATAAACTAACACACGAAAACACTTGGAAGTAGGGGTTCTAACTTACTTTCTCCCTTGTCCCAAACACTGCCAACAAAGGGTGGTAAGGCACCATTTTCCCCATCACCATTTAGCTAAAAAAAAAAAGCAAAATCCTGAGCAGGGAACCTCTTCTCTACCCCATCCCCAACAGAGTAGTTGGGGGGAGAGGGAAGGAGGTGTGGTTTGGTTAAACTAATAAAATGTTACAACCCTGTTAAATACAATTAAAGGGCTAGATCTCTAGAAGATAATTAAATGCACTTTATTATTATGATTATTAGCTTTTAATTTGCACTATTATCAAGAAACAAGAGATGGTGAAAAATTGAGTTCTGTAGCATACTTGTCCCACCCACCCTCTTGGTCCTCAAATCAATCCCTTAGAATTAAAATTCTAAAATATTCCAAATAGTTGAGGGAGATGATGTGTATTGGAAACTGCAATTCTCATACCAGTGTCAAAGATACTTTAAGAAAAAGTCTTGACTTTTATTTGTGGGGGGTAGGGAGAAGATAAGAAACATCTGTTATAAACATTCTATCAATCTTGTGATATAGAATGTCATGTAAACATTCAACCCCACCCCCACAGTCACAAAGAGTCTGCCCAGAGCCTTCTTCCAAAGCAAAAATACCCACCCCCACCCCCCTTTCTGGACAAGTTTGAAAAGAAACCAGTCTTTTGTCAAAGGAAAACTTAAAAATCCCACCAGCCCATCTGTCCCCTCCCTCCAACCCAATCCATTTTTTATTGCTTTTTGAAAAAATAACCCTAAACAACAAAAAACCCACACATAACACACAAACCAACCCCACAAACTGCTAACCTGAATGCTAGGGAAGATATTTGGTTGAGGGTGTGGGGTGGGGAAGCAGTCTGTGGGGGAAATTAGGGGAGACATGCAAGGGCATCACCAAACCCCAACATTTGCAAGCTAATGCTCCCCCTAAAATGTATGGAGTCAGGATGGGTACTCAAGGTAGTGTGTGTGCGTGTGTGTGTGTGTGTGGGGGGGTGTTTTTGTTTCAAAACACACTTCACAAAGCACTCTCGGCCCACTCCAAGTGCCTGGGGCATCGAGTTGAAAAGAAGAAAAGTTAAGGAGAAAGATCTTCCTGCCTGCGGGGGAGTGGGCCAGCAGGGTGGAGGCCATTCCACACAAGCTCTCCACCCTCTTCTCCCCACCACCCCACCCGTTGTTGGTTTTTTTTTTCCACGTCTTCATCTCTGTTGGGAGGGTTCCAAAGATGGAGTGAAGGAGACAGGACAAGTGTGGAGAGAAAAGGGGGGAAGGGAAGTAAAACAAGAATCCAAGTCTTGTTCAAAAATATCCATCAGCTTCCCCAGACCCAGCTTCAGTGAGAAGGCTCACCAATTTGGCTTTAGAAGTTGAATGTTAACAAACCAGCCAACACCTCTTCCAGCAGGCTCATCCCTGCCAAATCACCAAAAACTCCTAACCAAAGTGGGGGCTGGTGTTTAAAAGGGCGCTGAAGAAAGGTGAGAACCCCCTCAACTCCCCTTCTCCCCAGTCCATAGCCCTGGTGCCCATCGCTGCTCCTTTTTTTTTTTTTTTCTTTTTTCCTTTAAATAGAAAATATATAATTAAATTTACAAAGGCTATTTACAGTTTTAATTACAAACCTGGTAGGGGTGTTGGGCAGAGTTATCTTTAAAAAGCGACCTAAAAAAGAAATGGTTTCTATTGTTCTTTATTTAAAAAAATAAAATAAGGAGTCTGTAGAAGCCCCCCAGGGGAGGAGGAAAACGCGGTGCGGCCCCAGCCTGAGGACACCCCCTCACACGGTGGTCTCGCCATGCCGGCTGTTGGTGAGACGCGTGTAGAACTTCCTCCACGAGTGCAGCGTCTTGCCGGACCAGATCCAGAAGCCCGACGTGATGCCCACGATGAGCGTCATGAGGTATTTGATCATGTAGACGGTGAAATCGGGTGACATTCGCGGCGTGTAGTGCGCTGGGCACGGGATGGCCAGGCTCTTGCAGTGCTGGCTCACCCACGAGCGCTCCCAGTGCTCTCGGAAGGCCTGCTCGTAGAAGTAGCAGGCAATGACGATGGTGGCGGGCACCGTGTAGAGCACCGAGAAAACACCGATGCGCACCATGAGCCGCTCCAGCTTCTCCGTCTTGGTGCCGTCGTGCTTCATGATGGTACGGATTCGGAAGAGTGACACGAAACCGGCCAAGAGGAACGACGTGCCTATGAACAGGTACACGAAGAGCGGCGCCAGTACGAAGCCCCGCAGCGGGTCCAGGCTATTCAGGCCCACGAAGCACACGCCGCTCAGCAGGTCGCCATCAATCTGGCCCATGGCCAGGATAGTGATTGTCTTGACCGCCGGCACGGCCCACGCGGCCAGGTGAAAGTACTGCGAGTTAGCCTCGATGGCCTCGTGGCCCCACTTCATGCCCGCTGCCAGGAACCAGGTGAGCGACAGAATGACCCACCAGATGGAACTGGCCATGCTGAAGAAGTAGAGCATCATGAAGAGGATGGTGCAGCCTTCCTTCTTGGTGCCCTGCACCACCGTGCGGTAGCCGTCCTCGGAGAAGCGCTCGTTGCACACTACGCGCTCCTGGAGCACGAAGCCTGCGATATAGGCCACCGACACCATAGTGTAGCAGCCGGACAGAAAGATGATGGGCCGCTCGGGGTAGCGGAAGCGCTGCATGTCCACCAGGTACGTAGTGACGGTGAAGAAAGTGGAGGCGCAGCACAGCACCGACCAGGTGAGGATCCACAGGCGCGCAAAACGCGTCTCTTCCTGCGAGAAGAACATGGAGCCGTCGGGCCGCGCCGGCTCGCAGGGCGCCGCGCAGTCGCGCTCGCCTAGGAACTTGTAGCTGAGATAGGACGGCACCTTGAGGACGCGCGGGCAGTGAAACGGGTGTTCCAGCGTGGCGTAACGCGGAGGCGAGCCGCCGCCGCCCGGGCCGCCTGGGGTGCCCCCAGCACCCGGCTGCAGGCCCGGCGGCGGCGCAGTGGTGAGCAGCGCGGGCGAGCCGTCTTCAGAGTGGTTCTGGCCCACGCAGATCTGCTCCGCACCGTGGCGCGGGAAGTGCTCACAGCGCAGACGCTCCGGCCACTGGAAACCGAACTTGTTCATGAGCGCCTCGCAGCCCTGACGTGCACGCTCGCAAATGGAGCGGCAAGGCGGAATGGCCTGCTCCAGCACGGTACACACGGGTGCGTACATGGAACACAAGAAGAAGCGCAGTTCGGGCGAGCACTGCACTTTCACCAACGGGTAGAACTGGTGCACCTCCAGGCCCGCGTCCTCCTGGTTCGTATGGCCCAGAAGGTTTGGCATGATGGTTTGGTTGTAGGCGATGTCCGTGCACAGCGGGATGGAGATGGGCTGGCAGAAGCCGTGGTCGGGGATGGAGATACCCTTCTCTCCGTGGAACTGGGCAGGCCCCGCGGCGGGCAGCAGCAGCAACGGCAGCAGCAGGCGGGGCAGGGCGCTGCGGGGCCGCATGCTGGCCGCCGCCCCCCACCCGGCTCCGGGGCGGCCCCCCGCCCCCGCCCCTAGCCCGGAGACCGCGCGCCTTCCCCGCCGCCGCCTCGCCGCGGCCGCCGCCTCCCGCGCCTCTTTGCAAACTTTGCTAGCGGCCGCAGAGTTGGGGAGGCCGGGCGGGGGAGGGGGCGGCGCGCCTGCCCGCTAGCTAGCCGCGGTCGAACTGAGCAGCCGGAGACACCAAGCGCTGCCTGCTCTCTCTCCTCCTCTTCCTCCTCCTCTCGCCTCTCCCCTCCCTTCTCCACCCAGCGACTCCTTTGTGCCTTCCTCCAGCCCTCACCTCGGCCTCTCCGATCCCAATTAGTCGGTTTCAAGGGGGCCCCCGCCAGCGGCCCCGCCCTCTTCTCAGCCCCCCAAAAAAGGGAACCTTGAAACCGCCCCGTCGAGCTCTAAGCACCATCCCAAAATGTGCTCTCGGCCAATCAGATTTAAACCCGAGGACCAGCCCCGAGGGCTGGATTGGTCGACCACAACATAATGAGATCAGAAACCAGATGCCAACAAAACTTTCCCCCCCTCCTTATGCTTTTTAAAGAGACATGCTATTATTATATTAAGGGCTGTTTTTGCCCAGTACGGGATTTATCCTGAGTCGCGGAGGTGAGATCCATAGACACGCATTCCCCAGCACTGCGGCGGTCCCAAGCCACTCAAGCCGGGATCACTTTTCTTCCGGGGGCCAAGGCGCTCTCCAGGGTAGGGCCTCTTTAAATCCTTGCCTCCGCCCCTCTTCTCAACCCCACCTATTCCAGTCCAATGTTTCAGATCAAGTGAAAAATCTCAAGTGAAAAATTTGTTTTTTAAAAGAGAGACTTTTTTTAAACTAACAGTTAATAAAGACTTTTCTCTGAGCCCTTCTCATGGAGTCCAGACAAAAGTTTCACTTCACCCTGTATGTAGACCCCGAGGAGTTTGCCTCACCCCTCCTCTACACACACCCTTAAATAACCCTCTGAAAAATGAGAGCCTGTCTCTTTAAGAGGCTCTTAAAGGGGCCTGGGCTCCAGGGCGTAATTGCCCCGTAGCGAGCACAAAGGAGCCCATTATGGTTCTTTGTGTTGGATGGCACCTCAAAGTGAGAAAACTCGGGAACTTAGAGGCCAGAGCTGGAGAGATGGGGCGGGGATGGGAGGGGGTGAGGTGAAGGAGAATGGCCGGGAGCTGCAGCTTCTCCCTCCCGCTTCTTCCGAGGCAAATCTTAATTATGCAAAGTAAAGTTTAGTTGCCATAACGAGGAGGTCTTAATCGAAGGTTAATGGGGGGGGGGGGGGGTGACGAGAAGTTTTGAGTGAAGAGATGACTTTCTTAGGCTGTTTGGGGAAATTTTACTCCTCTCTTCTCCACTCTGCCTCCGCCCCCTAAAAGCTTCCAGATATCGTCTCCTGGGAGAGACACGAGTTTTACCCAAATCATAAGTGATTCCACACCAGAAAGGGGTGGTGTGAGTGGCAAGGGAGGAGGCTGGGGGTTGTTGTGGATTATCACCCCCTCCTATCTCTCACCTGGTTTGGGGTGGGTGTCAGTGGCCAGTAGGGTTCCTGCTAGTTTAAAAGGGTTTTCTTTTTTCCCCTTCTAGGGTTTTAAATGTAAGAGGGAGGGGGGTCTGGGGAGGAGAGGGGGGATTTGCATGTAAATCTCCTGGGCCTGGTACTGGATGATGGATCAATTATTTCTATTGTCTCTCCGGAGGGAAGGGGGGTCACTTAAAAAGAAGAAAGAAAATTGAGTTTAGAAAACCCCTTTGCTTCTCAGTATGGGCCAAATCCTCCCAGCCTAGTGAGCTATTTCTTGCTCCATTCTAGAAAAGTATTGCTTTAAAAACAAAAGAACAAAACAAAACAATAACAAAAAGAAATGTAAGGAAAAGAAAGAATAGTGAGAAGGAAAGAAAATTCTAAGTGGATACATACAACAGATCCAGGTTTAACAGGATTTTTTTTTTTTTTTGCATGATACACAGTTCAGATTTTTCAGGTTCTTTACAATGTGGCCGTGCTCCTTATCATATCCTGGAGAAGTTGCCATTTCATTTCTTTAGGAAAAAAGTTTTTCTTCAAAACCAGGATAGTCCACTTTCCTCTCAGAGTCCTCTTGGGGATCGGGAAAGTTGTGCTTTCCTGCTCTACCTGGTCCAAACTAAGCCTGAGATGCCGCTCCTTCAGCTCTCCCCTACTGCTTTACTTCCTCCAGGGCAATTTTAGAGTTGGTGCCAAGCCTCAGAGCTAAGCAGTGAAAACAAAAATGAATAAGATAGGCTCCTATACTCCACCTAGGAAATTGAGAGCAAATCTCCAATGGAAATGCAGCAACTTCAATTTCCTTCCATGACTAACTTGTTTTCCTGCCCTAAGGCCATTCTTGAGTGACAGTTATCCTTACCCAGCCATCCCCAAGGCAGGGGGGTGGGGTGGGGGGGACTACAGCTGGAAAAAAGAAATAAAAGACATTCTTTCATTCACTCAGTCTACCTTTCATTCCTTTAGCACACTTTTATTTAATTTTCTGATTTTAAACCATGGTGGTAGATTGTGGGGAATATAGAGAAAAATGGCAGCATCCCTGCCCTTTAAGAGTTTATAGCATCCCAGAAGAAAGTGATTCTATGGGGGGGGGGGGGAATCAATGGGGGAAAAAAGGGGACATCTGTAATACTTTTAACAATAAAAGAAAAAGTGATTCTATGAAGATCCCACATTTATCTAGTATTTTTACATGAAATAAGAAACCCTGATATTTCAAGATTACTCTTGCCCTTCCTGTGAGGACTTGGTGAAAAGACTACAGGCCTACCCACAGCACTTTCCATTCCACCAACTTGCCTTTTGATTAAAGCAGGTCTGTAACTTAAAGGACATTAACAGACTCTCCTCTTAAACATTTCATGATATCATTTGATAGATATAGCACTCAGTTTTGATTTTTCTTTTCTTTTTTTTAAATCCTCACCCAAGGATATTTTCCCATTTATCTTCAGCTAGAGCGGGAGGGAGGGAAGGAGAGAAGGAAGAAGAGAGAGAGAAACATCAATGTGAGAGACACATTGATTGGTTGCCACCCACATGACCCCAACCTGGGCCTGGGACTAACTTAAACCGAGGTATGTACCCTTGGATAGAATCAAACCCAGAACTCTGGTCTACAGGCTGATGCTCTAACTGCTGAGCCAAACCAGCCAGGGCTGATTTTTCTTTTTTAATTAGCTTGAGCATTGACCTGGACCTGATCCCTAACTACCACTAGCAGTGTGGCCTTGGAACAGTCACTTAACTTCTTTGAATCTTTTCCCCACCTGCAAAATGGAAATAAGCCAAAAGATTTTTAAAATATGAGACTACACATCCAAAATAATTTCTGAATGACAAAGAAAATGTCATAATAATCAAAAAGTATCTTTCAAAGCAAGATACTTTTAGCAGGCTAATTTTTAAGTTCATAATTTTGTATGGCCCATGAATGAAGTTATATGAATTAATATTCAATCAGCAAACATTCTTGGGTACCTAGGGTAATTGCTACCATTTATTGAACTCCTGTTAAGCACTACATATACATTATGTGTATGGCTACAAAATAGGTATTACATTTTGTTTAGGGATGAAGAATTTGACCTTAAGTGAAATTTGGCCACTTTCTCAAGGTCATATAGTAAGTAACAGAATTAAGATTTAAATCCAGGCCTAGTTGGCTCTTAAAGCTGTGTTCTCTCTCCTACAACACACAGCCCCCTAATGTCTATAAGAATTGTGTGCTTTTATATGTTGACTACCAGACCCAACCCCTGTTCTGTGGAGCTTATATTCTGGTGGGAGAGACATTCATCACAGTCACTTAAATGGATGTAAAACTGCCATAGGTTTTAAGTGCTGTGAAGGGGAAGTCCATGGTACTGGAAAAGCATAATGGGAGAGGGACTCTGAGTGGGGGAGGACAGCAGAGGCCTGTGTGGTTGGAATGAAGAGTAAAGCAGGATGAGGGAAAGAGGCCAGTAGGTATCAGACCCATAGGGCCTTGCAGAACTTATATGTAAGGTGGTAAGTGTAGAAATATGAGCCCATCATCTCAAGGCAGGGACAGGCATTCCAGACAGAGGGAGCAGCCTGTGCAACAGCATGGTGGGTGAAATAAATGGAATGAGCAGGGATCACAAGTGTACAAGTATTTTGGTCCTGTTCGAGCCCCATGTACATCTGGAGAGTGATGGCAGAGGAGGTTTTAAATAAGCAGGAACCTTATATACCATGTACACAAATTGGATTCCTGGAGATAGAAATGCACACACTGGAGTGTTTAGGGGAGGGAAGTGGTTACACTTAAATTCTAGACCTTGTGCCCTGGCCAGTTTGGCTCAGCGGTTAGAGCGTCAGTCTGCGGTCCAGAGAGACCTGGGTTCGGTTCCCGCTAAGGGCACGTACCTCTGTTGCAGTTTGTCCCCGGCCTTGGTTGGATCATACAGTGGCAACCACTCGATGTGCCCCTTTCACGTCGATGTTTCTCTCTCTCTCTCTTCCTCTCTCTCCCTCCCACTCTATCTGAACAAAAAATGGAAAAATGTCCTCGGGTGAGGATAAAAATAAATTTAAAAAAAGTTTTAGACAGTGCATTTGGGCAGCTGTGGGGAGCATGACTTGGCTGAGTTAGTTGCAATCTATTCTAGTTAGGAATAGATTACAAGAGACCAGGCAAGAGATGGTGAGGGCATGAACTGAACTGTGGCAATGTAAAAAGAGAGGAGAGAGAGAAGGGAGGAAGCCAAACAAGGTTTCTGACCTGATGTCATTAACCAGGCCAGGAAACAGGGACAGGGTGAATAATGAGCATAGTCAAGCCAGTCCAAACCTATGGTTTGTCCAAGGGAAGGTGTCCAGATCATAGGTAGATCTTCTAACCCAGTGCCCAGGAGGGAGCTCTGGGCTAGATTTAGATCTGGTACCTTTAGCCTGTGGTTGGAGCTGTCAGAATGGCTGAGATCACCTAGGGAAGGTGGATTGGGTGGAAAGACCAAAGCTCTGGGGATGCCAGTATTTAAAGACCATGGGACTGAGGAGGAGGAGGGGGACTGAGAAGGATTGGTAGGGCCAGAAGAGAATGTCATAAGGTTTGTTACTCCTGGTCTGGGAGCCTCAAGTCAGAATTCTTATTTACCT